CCCCCAGGTCCACTCCACTATGCAGCCTTCATCCTGGACTCCTGTCATGACAATAATACCTAATCATACAGTTTTCTCCCTCATCTGTTTCAATGTAGTATACATTATTTATCCCATCTTTCTCAACCTCCCCCCAAGACCAATGTCAGTCCTGTTTTACAACAGTGGCACTATGTATTATTTGTCCCTTTGTGACTGAGATATTTCACCCAGCATAATGTCCTCCAGGGTCATCCATTTCGAATATTGCATGAATACCTTATTTTTCAATGCAGTGTAGTTTTTCATTGTGTGAATATAGCACAGCTTCTCTAGCCATTCGTTTGTTGATAGGCACTTAGGTTGTTTCTAACTCTTTGCTATCTGAACAAAGCCACGTGTGCAACATCTTTACTTTCTAACACTTTACAAAAATCTTTTGTAAAAGAATTGCCTGATGCAGTATGTCCTTTTAGTTCTTGATTATTGTTTGATGAATGTTGATTGTGGATAGAGTAAAATTAAATCACAGTATTTTAGTAACATAATACACAAAACTCATTGCCATGGAGTTGGGCTGACTCATAGCTAATTCTACAGTTGGTTTTCAGAGGCTGTAAATCACGCAGGAGGGACATTGCTTGCCCATCTTTCTCCCAAGGGGTAGGTGGTGAATTAGAAACTTAGAACCAACAGCCTTTAGGATAGCAGAGCAGTACCCTATCCACTAGTCGCGAAAGCTCTCTAATACTAAAACAAACAAACAAAAGAAAAAAAGAAAAGAAAAAAAAAACCACCCAACTTTCGCTGTTTAGCTGAAATTCTAAACAAAAGAAAAAAAGAAAAGAAAAAAAAAAACCACCCAACTTTCGCTGTTTAGCTGAAATTCTAATCTCACTGGCAAACCCAACTGTATTTTTCTTCCCAATTTGGGGGAGGAATCTCCATCTGTCTCTGACACACGTCTCCAGAGTTGAGGCGGCTAATTCTGATGGACACCGCCTATTGGTTACATGAAAAATAGCATTCCTTTCAGCCGTTGTGTGAAATGGGTATTGTCTCTGTTTCATAGACAGGAAGCAGATGCCATGTGTAATGACCAGTCTCGCCCAGGTCTCACTGGCAAGGGACAAAATGAACTCTAGACTCTGAGGCAGGAGACTTTACAACACCCGTTAAGGACCCCTTCCACATAACCATCCACACGAACGTACTGGACAGAGCTCGCCTAAGCACATAGCAAAATCTAACCACAAAACAAAAATCTGAAATTCACATTTAATTTATCTAGCATCTTTACACTCCGGGAAAATTGGAGAAGGAAAGATAAAAAGGAGAAAGAGCAGACGCAGAGGAGGACGGCGGGCACAGAACTAACGCTCACTCGGGTTCCAAGACTCTTCAGGGTCCTGAGGGACTGGAAAACTCTAATAACAGTTAAATTAAGAATGGCGACCTATCAAAACGAGACTAACCTCCAACTTGCCTCCGAGCCTGCGCACACTTCACGTGAGCTCTCCAGCCAGTGAGGCACCGCTTCCCGTATCCAGGCAACAAGTTTGCTCGCCTCATCGCCTAATCCAGGTGAGTTGAGGACAATCACAGCTAGTGTGGAAGAGCTCTGTGAGCACACGAAGTAGGGCCCTAAGGGATGCGGCGTTGAGACTCTTAGGGGCCAAGGAGCCCTGGGGAAGAGAAAGGCAAAGCAACCTTTGTGAGGACCCAGGAAGAGCTGCCTGTGAAGGACCTGTTCTTTCTCCGGTAAGATTGGTTCCATCTAGACCATATGGCAGTCCCCCAGTGACTGGCAAGTGGAGCAGCTTCCTAGAAACATAAGAATAGATATAGAGGGAGCTCTGGTGGCCTAGTGGCAAGGAACTGCAACTACAATCCCAGAGGTGTACGGTTCAAATCCACCAGATGTTCTGCCGGGGAAGGAGGGACAATCTCCTCCTGTACCAGTCGGATCTGATTTGACGGTACGCTCACACAAAAATTTAAAAAAAAAAAAAAAAAAGAATAGATGTAGATTCTTCATGTTTGTTGAGTTGATTTTGAGTCCTGGGAGTCCTTCATGTGCAGAGTAGAGTGTTCAAGACTCTGGACTTTTGGACACAGATGTCAGGTGGGACTGAACTCTCAACATTTAGTGAGGGTTTCATGATTGTTTATGACATTCAGTGACTATGACTTGTAAATGTCCCTACTTTCAAAATGTACCGTTTTCTTTAATTAAACATATAATACTGATTTTTAAAAAAGGATTAGATTTTGAGTCTGTCTTCAGGGAAAGACAGATCTGCAGAAGTAAAGCACTGTAGATGATACTTGCTAACCCCAGGCATCTTTCTAAAGCACAAATTTTTAATCTGCCTAGGTATAAGGTGAAAGAAATAGCCTGTGTTTATGTTTCTTATAAAAGGTATTTGCAATGAATAAATCATTGAATGTGTAGAACTCTTATCTCCAGCCTCTTTTCTCTCACCGAGCCCATGTTACTGATCCTTCTTCCCTGTTCCCAACTTTTGTGTTCCAGTCACCCATGATTATCAATGCATCTTGATTGCATGTTTGATCAATTTCTGACTGCAAACATTGGTAGAAATCATCCATTTCCTTCTCTTTGGCTCTAGTTGTTGGTGCATATA